GTCTTTCTTCCTTTTTTTCTTTAAGTTCTCACCTGTGTCTAAAAATTTTAACCTGATATAATAGCAATGAGTATCATGACAAAATACTACTGTTACCTTTATTACTACCACCAAAAAATAGATAAGGTTTACTAAGCAAATGCCAGACACTGTGTCATAATGGCTTTACATGGATTTTACTAATCAGCATAAACCCAGAATATAGTTACAACTATTAACTTCATGGAAAAATGAAAAAACTGAGGCTTAAAGAAACTTGCCCAGACTCACACAGCTAGAGAGCGACTGTGACTTATATGAATAAGTAATATTTAGTCCCCAGTATTCATCATGAAATTAGAGCACATTTATATTGCAAGGGAGGAAACTATAGGCTGTTTATGTCTAATTTTTTACAGTTACAAACAGGTGACAAAGTTTGTCAATTTACAACATTTGCTGACTTGTCCATAACCTTAAATAGCTTGGTAGAGTTGATTGTGGCTTTCAAACAAGAATCAGTAAGTCGAGTGTAGCCAAGAGAGAGGGGATAACCAAGTACTCTGAGATCAGATTTGAAATGTTAGATTCTTTTTTAGCCATACTATGTTGTACTTAGCTCCATGAACAAACTGACAATATGGTTGATACAACCATGTGATCGTTGAGTCCTTTTTAGGACAACCCTACCTCATGATTGTCCAGACTGCTTGAACACCTCCAAAGATGGGGAACATATCACCTCTTAAGGAAGTCCTTTTCACCTTTAGAGAACACTGACTGAAAATCCTGCCGATTGGTGTAGTAGTGGCCTAAATGTGAATAAGCAAAACTTTTAAAACATCAGAAGAAAATAGAGAAAAATATCTTTATGACCTTGGAGCAGTGAATTATTTCTTAAGCAACATCACAAAACAAAAAATTGATATATCTGATTGCATTTAAAAATTTAAATTTCCATTTCTCAAAAGACATTATGAAAATATGAAAAATAAGTCACAGGGAGATGATATTTTCAGCACTTATAAATGACCAAGAAGTAATGTCCAATGTGTGCATGTATGTATAAGAGAAGGAAACAATACAATAAAACAAAAAAATGATAGGAAGACTCTAGACACTCCTTAGGGGGGAACAAAAATGGAGATTGACTTGATTAAGCTTGATTTTCATTTGTTAGCTTGATAAACATTTAACTGTTAGGACATTAGTCTGCAATTCTTTGAGGCTCTTTCAGTGTGGACAAGGAGCTAGTGGTTTTTTTGGGTTTTTTTTAAAGTTGTTTAATATGTTTTCCATAAACTTTCCAAAAGTTGTATCTTCAAATGTAAATATAAACAATGTGCCTTTAGCAAACTAAGCAATTTTGAAAGTTTAACATGGGAAATTTAATCCAAGGAAATTATTTTAGTCATAATAACCGAAATTTACTAAGCCTATTATGTACCTTGTGCTTTCTATGTCTAATTTCTAATCCTTGCAAAATGAAGGTAACAGATACTGTTACTCTCACTTAGTAGATAACATTGGAGCTGAAAGCATTTTAATAACTTAGCCAAGGTCACACATATAGAGTGGCAGAGCGATTGCGAACCCAAGTTTGGAAGGCTCCAAAATTCTCTGCCCTGTCTTGTCTTCGCTCTGAAGATCACAAAGAAGGGACACATGACCCAGCCTGAGTGTTCATAAAGGGCTTTCAAGAGGAAAGGATGTTTGAACGTAGTCCCAGAAGGATAAATAGTGTGGACGGAAAAGGGGCCACATGTTATACCTGACAAGCTCAGGAGACTGAAAATAACCACAGAGGATGGTGTGAACATAAAAATTCTTAACTAAGGTGGGCCATGGTGGGAAGTCACATCTCAAGCTTCCTCATTAAATTAACCTGTGTCTTTTCAGTGGGCCTGTTCTTTGTCTTGTTGTACCTAAAATAACATCTGTAATCCTTTTTCTGGACCACAGCTGGAAACTGCAAAATTTCTCATTATCATGCTTGTCTCCTGATTACCATCTCTATGTGCTGGGCTTTAGGGAACTACATCTTTATCCAATTATGATGTGTAATTTAGTATATTGCTAGTTTCATTGACTGCTCCATCAGAAACATGTTTCTGTGCTGCTACAGTTTTCTCGATGATTTTCCATGACTTTTTTTTTCTCTAAAGGAGACATGGCCTTTCCCACATCACTGGACAGTTAGACTGGTTATTTGCTGGTTTTCCAAGGCTACTGGACTGTGAGGCTTCTGTAGGACTTCTCACTATGCCACGTCTTCCCACTGGAGCCTCTTTAACAGGCTTCACACCTTGTTCTTCCCATTCCAGGGGCATAGGTATGATACATATTAACTTTTTTTATTGAGGCAATGTTGGTTTGTAATATTATATAAGTTTCAGGGGTACAAAATTATAATTCAATATCTGTATACACAATAGAATGCTCACCACCATAAGTCTAGTTTATCCAGGGTTCTTTCTCAGTGAATTACCGGTCTTTCCAATATTCACCATGTCAGGCTCTAGCCTTTGATACATTCCCTGGGTCTTTGTTATGTAAATCACTTCAAATCCTGTTTTGGAACAGGTATGGTATAGAGAATGAATACACTTCCTGGGAGAACAAGGATTCTGTTTACAGAAGGTACAGCACTACAGTGCATAAGTAGTGACTTCCTGCTTATGACAATTGCATGCTTTCGTTGATTAGGTGCTCATGTAAACAAGGTGTATAGCTGCAGCTCAAGGCCTTGGAAGAAGGGTCTCTTTCATCTAGCTGCCTAGAGAGGAGATGGGTTCAGGATTAACAGCTTTGATGGAGGCACTATAGGAAAGTGGTTAATAGCACACAGGATAAGCCAGATGGATCTGGGCTAGAGTCCCAGTTCTGCTCTTAACGGATGTGAGATTTTGGAAAAGTTGTTTATCTTCTATGAGCTATAGAAGGTTGTTTTGGATTTAAATAAGACCCAGTATATAGTGAGTGTTCAGGAAAAATTAATATTGTTACTGGGATGGTTTCTTTGAAATAACAATTGCAAAGCTTTGAATACAAGATGATGGTGAACCGTATGTGGTCATAAGGCACAAAATAATGAAACGACTGGCGCCATCAGAGTTTCCACTGAGGGGTTGTTTTTCACTTTCTCCCAATGTGATTTGACAATCAGGAAGGAAACCAGGCTTCTAACTATGGATACAGCTGCAGCTATGGGTTTAAGTGAATGAATAACTGGAATGTATCCCTGGGAAACTAGTTTAATTTTTCTGTAGCCTACTTTCTCTTCTGTAGAATACTGATTCATGGAAAACCAATGGTTTGGGAAAACCCACTAGATAGAGATTCTGTTTATAGCCATGCTTACGTGGTTCTAGGAACATGGAAATACTGGAAGTTCAATTACTCATATTCCATGTCCTGCTTTCAGTGGCATTTACCCACTGACAAAATGCTTGTGTTCACAAAGGCCTTCAGGAAACTGAAAGCCATTTTCGCTGAGGCCTAATTTGAGGTGAGCTGGCACATATCAACAGGACATAATGCAGGTGTGCTCTGCTTT